GTGTGCAAAAGGCCAGGGCTCGACAACACTCAGCACTTACTTGGATTCGGAAAGGGGATACAAATACGCGGTTTTTCAAACTCCATGCAAATGCGAGAAGACAAAAAAGACCTTCATAGCCTCCCTAAGCAGTCACACGGGGATAGTTTTCTGACAAAATGAAAAATCAAAGTTGGTACATGGCCACTTCTCCCAAATCTTGGGATCACCGAACTCAAGAACAAAGGCCATTAACTGGAATGAGCTAGGATATGTACGTCATGACCTCGGCGAACTGGACGCTCCTTTCACAGAAGAGGAAATAGCGTCAGTGATAAAAGAAATGCCAATGGAGAAAGCACCGGGACCATATCGGTTTATTGGTCTGTTCTACAAGAAGTGCTAAGCGGTGGTAAAAGAAGATATCGAGTTTCTATTGTCACCGAACAGCAAAGCTCAATCTCATCAATAAGGCAAATATCGTATTATTGCCATAGACACAAGTGGCCTCACAAGTGTGGGACTTTAGGCCGATTAGCCTAATCAATAGTGTTGTCAAAATTATCACAAAAATTCTAGCGAACCGTCTTGCCCCTCACATGAACGCTCTAGTGTCCAATGCGCAGAACGCCTTCATAAAGAAAAGATGCATACATGACAATTTCATTTATGCACAAAGAGTAATACAATTGCTTCACAAAAGAAAGAAACCAGCATTGTTCATCAAGCTAGATATCTCAAAGGCTTTTGACTCCATAGGATGGAACTTCCTGCTTGAAGTCATGGAGGCGTTGGGCTTCAGCCAAAAATGGAGAGATTGGATAGCATCTTTACTAGGAACTGCATCTTCAAAAATCCTAGTTAACGGTCAGCCAACTCAAGGGATTAGACATGCTCAGGGATTAAGACAAGGAGATCCTCTCTCCCCACTGTTGTTCATATTGGCTATAGACCCACTGCAACGTATCATTGAGACAGTAGCCCAGAAAGGAATCCTCCCAAAGGTGGCAAATTTGTGCTGCTCCCTATATGCCGACGATGCAGCCATTTTTGCAGCCTTGGAGTTAGATCGCCTACACAGAATTCTATCCTTCTTTAGAGAATTTCGGGGCTCAAAATAAACATCTCAAAAACAGAAATCTTCCCCATCCGCTTGGACAACAACGTGGCCAGTCACCTGTTATCTTCCCCATCCGCTTGGACAACAACGCGGTCAGTCACCTGTTTCGCAATTTCCCAGGAAGATATGTAATTTCCCTGGAAAGTATCTAGGACTTCCCCTTCACATTCGTAAGCTGCGAAAAATCGAAGTTCAACCCTTGATTAACAAGATAGGGGCAAGACTATTGGGTTGGAAAGGGAGACTTCTATCCGCGTCGGGCAGGAAACTTTAGTTAAGACGGTTTTGTCAGCTCAACCCATCTATCACATGACTGCCTTCCCTGAACACAAATGGCTAATCCAAAGGATTGATTGCTTGAGACGGGGTTTCCTATGGAGAGGAGAAACCCCAGACAAGGTTTATGGCGGGCACTCTTTGGTGAATTGGCCAACGACTTGTCGGCCCAAAGGAAAAGGTGGACTGGGAATCATGGAACTTCAATGTTTTGCAAGGGCGCTAAGATTACGATGGCTTTGGTTTCAATGGAAACACAAGGAGTGCGCTTGGAACGAACTAGAGCTTCCGTGCGATAGTCGAGACCGCGAACTTTTTGCTGCTTCAACGGTAGTGACATCAGGAGATGGGAAAACCTCACGGTTTGGGACATTAGCCTGGATCGAGGGAACTACGACAAAGAATCTTGCGCAAACATTATTCCAAAAGGCAAAGAGGAAGAAGATCTCGGTCCAAAAGGCTATACGTGGCAATCGGTGGATCTCACACATATTGCCCCTTCAGACGGCACAAGAGATATATACATGAATACATAGTTTTATGGGAAAAAATACACAGCGTCAGTCTGCAGGAAAACATGGAAGACTCCATACGATGGCGTTGGACAAACAATGGAGAATACACGACTAAGAGTGCATATCAAATCCAATTTGAAGGCTCGTTCAGCAAGTTAAGACTAACGCTGATTTGGAGAGCAGGAGCAGAACCTAGATGCCGTTTTTTTGCTTGGACACTAGTTCATAAGAAGATACTTACCGCTAACAATTTAGCAAAACGCAACTGGACACACGATCCCATTTGCAAACTATGCGGGGTGGACCCAGAAACACCGACTCACCTATGCAAAGACTGCACCTTCTCGAAGCAAGTATGGTCCTATCTAAAACAATGGCTCGATCTGGCAGTACTTGATTCAATGGGAATGAATGGATCGCTGAATAGCTACTGGCGTAAATGTCGCGCAAAATTTTAAAGAAGGCAAAGGAAAATGATAGATGGAATTATGATCTACTTCTAGTGGAACGTTTGGAAGGAACAGAATAGAATAACATTCCAACAAAAAATCTTTATAACCAAGACAAGTCGCCCTACTTTGCAAAGATGATATTCAACAGTTCCAGTCGGCAACAAGACCCATCGATAGCGGGGAGTAGTCTTTCTTCCGGGTTGTTTTCGGTTCTTAGGGAGTTGGCGCTCTATTTTGTTTTCTTGCTTAAGTTGTTTTGGTGTACGTTTGCCGGCCTGTGCGCCGTAGTAGCTTGCTGGTCCTCTAGTTTTGGTAGTTGGGAGTTTTCCTTTTTCCACATAGAACTCTGTAATTAATGTGTTTTTTCCCTTTTATCCGTCTAATAAAAAATCGGCAAAGCTTTTGCCGCCTTTAATTTTTTTCCAGCTAGTGCATGATTGTATCGGACCGGCACATGGCCGTTCTTATGGGTAATGTAAGTTTATATACGGTGAAATGACGACCGAGAAGATTTGATCCCCAACAGCTCTCCCTCCATTTCAGTTTATAAGGCATTTCATGTATGTCAAGAGTCAAATTTTTTAGTTTTTGATAAATATAATTTAGCCGATAATTTGTGGATATTGTAACACAAACTTGATAATGTTAAATTCGTAACCAAATAAACTATCCAATAACTGCAAACTTATCTCTTATAATAACAAAATAAACTAAAATAAATAAATAAGCAATATATAATTTAGGAGTTCGTGTCATGTAACGTCTTATAAACTAGACTGAAGAGAGTATATTGTTGTCATAACCAAAAAACAAATTGCTAAAAACTGTCAATTTGTATTCAAGACTTTGATGCCGATGATTTATCGGCTCATGGGTAATATATGGATTACGATTACAGATTTTATCGATCAGGGGTAACAAAAGAGAAAAACTTGCCATTGAGAAATGTGCCATCCTTAGAAGGCTAACATAGACTCGAGAACTTATCTTCACTAGAAACATACGTCTGTGCATGGGACAGAAACCAAATTCCAATCTGGTCTTCAGAATGCATTTATTCTGTATCCCAATAATCGAGGAGGTTGTATTTTAGCACTAAAACATCATATTCACGGAATTAACGTCTGATAAAGAAATTCTCACAACTATCTATGCAGAAGGGTAAGGTTCCAGAAGCAACCTCATTAATCAAGAGAAATGTACACTGATTTCGTTGGTTTTGCTGGATTATGACAGCGCAGACGTTGACACTACAGCAATATATCAATCATGGGCATGCCTAAAACAATGTTATTTCATAAAGAACCACAACAGATCAGTTTCAGCTGGCTTATCAGCCACAGAAACCATCAGCCGAACAGCTCCTAAGCTGGGACCAAGAAGACAAGAACTGTGCCTAGTCAAGCCAGCATGACGCGTGCGTTTTGCATCGCCAGATTATCTTTCGAGCCCCATTGAATGTAAGATAAATTAATTTGCATTCTTTCAGGGTTTTATCTCATGGTGTTCTATTTTTTTCCCCTAAGACATCTACCCAACCAGATACAAATTCATAAAACCAAAAAAACTAAACAAAAAAAAAAAAACCAAACCAAGTGATGCCAGATTAATGCAGGCATAAGAGACTATGAGAAGGAAGAAATCCTAAAATACAAAAGTTAACTAACCTGTCAAGCCATACAATCCAAGCAAAATCACCGTCCAGACGGCAAAATCTCAAGGCTTCCCGGAGCAGCTATTTGACCGAAATATATTTCTTGTGATTTTACCAAACAACGCACTCTTTCGGTGCTACTAGCAAAATTGTCATGATGACACCATGCATGCATATCACAAGGAAGAGCAAACATACCACATACGGCACGGTTCAAGAGATGGAATATAGTCAACAACACTGCATGACTTTCAGTGAAGCTGGGTTTGCAAGGAAGAACAGATAATGCGGCAAGAAGGAAGGTCACTATGCCACATGAGCATATCCAATACAGGGTTGATTCAAAAATAAGCAACCCTACACCAAAACTCTGTTTGAAAATCTGGTCAACGAGGAAATGGATACTATAAGCTGTTTTTGCTACCCTTGAGTTATTTAGATGTAGACAATAAGTATCAGTAAGATGGAAGAAATACTAAGTTCCCCTTTTATTTTTCCTTTTGCACAAGTATGCCCTATCAAGTGATGCGAGCACAAACTTCTGAAACCAGTTTAAATGGATTTCCCATCTCAGTATTTTGTAGACTCCTAGTGCATAATTTAGATGGCAGACGGGTAAGGAACTGTAAAGCATACTTATAAGGACAATTGCATGGGAATCTCCAACATAATTTCATCATCAGGCAATAGATGCATAAATTATTTATCTTCCATAGACCATTGGGATAGGCACACATAAAAGGAGTAACAAATGTAATCCTTGATCCACCACAAAGGACCTGAGAGTAGAGCTTACATGAGTAGCTTGACTTTTATCATGAGGATAATTGCGACACCAAACTATCATCATAGCAAATGGGGAAAAAAAGGCAAAATTGTCATCTCAATCTGATCTCAGGAGCTTACCAACGCTCAGTTGCAATTTCCGGGAAAAAAAAACAGAACTAAGAAAGTTAGACAAAAAAAAAATATATGCACAACCAGAATGGTACAGAAGTGCTAAACTAGCTCCATCTCCTCTTATCCTCTTCTTCATCGACAGGGCTGTACCACTCTGGTCGCCGCTTTGAGTTACTGTAACGGTAATTTAGGAAGAGCTCTTCATCACAGATGGACATTGTACTCACGAGCACAAGCGTCTTCAGCACTAGAGAATCACCAGCTTGATTATCAGAACCTCCAGACTTGAAATAGAAGGAGCCAAACCTCTTCATCTTAATGGTCTCTTCACCACCAAACGTAATGTTAGGGATGTATACTCTCATGTTCTTCTCTGTCAAAGGAAAATCGTATGGGCAGATCATGACATTAGGACTTGAACCTTTAGGTGGATGATTTGCGAAATGACCAAAAGCAAGGGGATTTCGGCGTTCAAGCACTTCACCAAAATTTTCCCTTACACTTTTCTCTAGGGGCTTGCTAAGCATTCACCACACTCGATCAGAGTTGTTCTCTGAGCCTTTAGGTGGCATAGCATTGTAATCCACCAAATCTGAACCATCCCATAATTCTCTTGTGTCACGACCAAAACACCATGGTTTTGCGTCAATTATTGTTCCATCATATCTTGTGATCAGGTAGTTGTTGCAAACATCAATTCTTGGGTATCCAGGTATATATCGATAGTAAGCAGGTGAATATACAACACCAGGATAGATGGCTAGGACAGCACCGACATTTGCTTGTCTAGATAAGAACAGACCTTGGCCTGCATCTTTGTGAGGAATTCCAGATGGTCCGATGTCAAGGGTGTACCCAAAATGATCCCTGAATTTCTTTGACAATTCTGCTCGAGTTAAAGGTCGTGTAGCAGGGATAACTGCACTGCAGAGCAAATGATGAGCACTTAGCTTCTTAGAATTTGTTGGACATAAACGAGTGCAGATGTAAACACATGTAACCTCTTCAGGATTTAGCATCGCTTCATGCAGCAACATATTTATTCAATGATGCATATAATGTCATAATCAACAGAACAATGCATTTGTAAGTAATCTAGCATGGAAGTTCAAACAAACTGTGCTGACAAGACATAACAGTGATATGCAAGTCAAGCTAGCATGGCTAATACAAGACACAAATAAAAGGAAGTTAAAAAATTAATGCTGCAGAAATGGAACAGTTACAGAAAAGGAGGTAAATTACCTCAGTTACCATACTTATGAACTTATCTTCATTTAGTTAGGTAGACAAGTAACAGAAAAATGTAGAGACTGACTTTTCAGTGGTACATGTGATGCAACTGTATCATCCTCTTTTTTTGCGAGTATGCAACAGTATCATCCACATGAAAGTGATCGACATACTAGCCCATTTTAGGATGAAATACCCTTGAACAGGAAAGCACCAATGTGATGTACTTAGTCAGAACAAACTACCTTTGCTTGTTTGAAGATGCAGCACCACCAACGGCAAAACTCAATCCACTACGCCGAGAATGATTATGTGCTTCTGAAGGTTCCTTTGACGGATCATTTGTTGTATCATGACATAAAATGTTATCCATTGATTGGCACATATGCTTAAGTTGATAATGAACATTTTCCTGCACTTGTTTCTGCTGATCAGCAACAGAAGCTTTGCTAGCCAAGTCAATAATCTCCTCTGCGTCCTTCTCTTCAGCATTCTCACCCAGCCGAGAATAGCTAAGTGCACAGCAGAAGAAACTCAGGAAAGCAGTATCTTCACAAATGGGTTTGCAAGAGAACTAGGTATAACAAAATCTCCATGAACACAGAGATCCCAATACTACACGTTTGGTGGATTAATCCCTGAAGTTTGATTAGGGGTACCAGCCTAACAGAAGAGCTGAGAAGATGTAACTCATCTAACCAGACATTCACATAAATGACTTTCACTTATGAACAACCAGAATGAAATAACAACTATAAAAGACACAAATTGGCAGCCGAAAGCTTGAAAGAATCCAAGTACACAAAATTGCAAGTGCTAAATATGTTGCTGCCCATACTGAAAATTACACAGTGAAAAAAAGGAGAAAACCAGAGCAGCTTTTCCTTAGGATATTAGCCAACCTTGTATAGAGAAACAAACGATTTACATCAGCTTCAAATTGAAGGTGCCTTGGATCACGAGCAAACATGGGGCTCTTAGCAATTGTTCTGATCGCCTGAACATTCAGCGATAAAATCAATTAAAATGGTGATAAGATTTACTGCGATTACATATTTACATAAAATCAAATCAATCTTCGTGGGCTAGTGTTGTATGTAATAGTTGCACTACATAAATTACAGAGAAAGCAAATAGTCATCTGAACGAGGATGCAGGCAGCTTCGAAGCTAACAGCAAAGGTAAGAAAGACGGGGAACACTGAATCAGTCCCCAGATACTGAAGGCACAAAATGCCCACTGCGTGCCGAGCATCTGCCCAATTCTATCGGGGCAAAGCGTTCAGTACGGGACAGAATCTTCCTCGTGTCAAGGAATCCATGTTGGGCGCCATGATTGGCTTGGACGCCCGCGACGAGGAGGAATCAGGCAGATCGAGATCCCGCGATGGTTGGGTGGTGTGAAGGGAAACAGACAGGACGTGTACCTCTTGGAACTTGTTGAAGAGGGAAGCCATTCTACCGTGGCGCGGCCAAGAGCAGCAGCCGGTGGGAGTGACGAGAAGCGAGCAACGCTGGTCGGAACGCCCGAGCAGGACGGAAGAAGGGTTCGGACGGGAAGGAAATGAGGCGGCGGCGAGGGGGATCGGCGTCGTGGGAGAAGGGGGGTTTTAGCCGGAAGTTTGGGCCGCATCTATCCTTCGGTCTCCCTAGGCCATACAGCGCGGCCCAAAACTTTATCACTCGGCAACGTTAGGCCCCTTTGGCGGCTTGCTAACTAAGTTTTGTAAGATTTTCTATACAGTGGGAGTGACATCAGCCATCTATAGATGATGTATTCACATGTGTAAATAGTGGGATCCTAAATTATAAGGCACCTTCTGACATATTATACGACATCTTCTGATATGTGGCCACTTGTCATCTCAATCCCTCAGATCTAATTTATAAGACATTTTTTAATATGGCATGGTCCCTTAAATTACACTTTAATCATTTATTTATTTTCTGTAATATTGTTTCTGATTATTAGATAGTAAATTTGGTTACAAATCTAATAGTATTAAGTTTGTATGCAATAATTAACTTTTAGTCAAAGATTATAAAGTTTACTCTTGACCTCTGCAAAATGCCTTATACAAGACTGGAGGGAGTAGAAAGTTTGTTGCAATAGTAACTGTACTCAAGAGTTAAAAGGAAAAGTTACATAGTTTTTTACAGACTTTTTTGCGAAGTCATCTATGAGGATTAGGACGCACGCAGTGGCGGATCCAGGAAAATATAATAGAGGGGGCTGAACATATAAGTGGCTGGCCCAAGTCGTGACCAGAGCTCTTTCTTCAACCTCTAGACACATGCAACCTCTCCCTCTCAAGGCACAACAACAGTGAAAAATTTTAGGAGAGGCTTAGAGGGGCTCCATGGGCTTGCCGGCTGTAGGGGGGCTTGAGCCCTGGCAGCCCCCTGGTAGATCCGCCACTGGACACACGCCTCCAGTCAGGGACAAAGCTAGAGCAAATACCAGGGGAGCATGTGTGTACAGGTACATAAATTTTTACCGTAGAGATATATATATGGTGAAAAGTTTATTATAATTGCTGTTTTTTCATGAGTACACCCGCACATATCCGCCCTGCAGCCACTGGTGCTAGGCTTCAAGGGAGGAGGGGGGAGAGGTAGCCGAGGGCGAAGGTGGATGCTACGTAGGAGGATACGGAGGTACTCAATATAATATGTACTCTTTCAGCTGAAGATGACAATCGGAATTTGTTACCATAGCAAATGATCAAATGGGTAACACGAGTAGTAACAACTATTCCTTCGCAACTTCGCCTTTCGCACTTACCTTCCGTCCAGTACGTCGTTCAAATGTTTTTATGGGATTATGTTGGTGATGACTGATCGGGGCACCGGCGGCTGCGGCAACGTACAGGCGAGCGTGGCTGCGCGTGAGGCGAATGGAGCGAGTGGATAATGCGCAAGCCCCGACGACACGAGAAAAGAGGCTTTGGTGGAAGAAACGCCTGAGAACGCTCACGGTCCAGAACTCCAGATTACTTCAACCGTCGCTAAAGTGTTTGGTAAGATTATTGATTATTTTCACCGAGCATTTGATATTAATCTGAAATAAACGCACCCCAATTGCTAGTTCGAAACTTCGAAAGATCTAGCTGACGGATATATACTAGCAGCGATCCTCTCGCGCAATGAAATCAATGAGTAGGAAATCGTGGCCGCCGCTCATTTCCGCTTGTCAATTGGCATGTTCATGTTCTTGACGTTTTTTGACGCTGAACTAGGCAGCATGACAATGCTTCCGCAAAACGCAATTGAACAGTAATGGAGAGAACCGGATAAGAAATAATAAGGGATAAGCAGGATGCTGGTGAAATGCCGAGACGAGAGGAATGGCCGGCGGTGGAAGAGTTTGGGCGGTTCTCTCTCCATTTGAAACAGCCCCGATGAGGTCAGACCCAAGCTAGATTAATTTGAAACATTGAGCACACAGTACATCTGAATCTAAACAACTGCATAAATATGATTTCAAGCCTTTTCCCCAAAACTGAAACTTCTAGTGAAATGCCTGACAAAAAGTAGACCTTCAACCAGGTCCGATATATAAAACCACGTGATAGATTTATGAGCATCAAACTAGGCATGGTTCATACTTCATGCATAACTTCAGCAACGCATACACGTGCAACTACTTTGAATCAGACAAGTCAATAATTCTTCAAATTCTAAGCCCATCAATTGTAACTGTGTTGCAGTGCTGGATTACATACTGTTTCCACTAGGCGTAGAACTCCAATCTAATGCATTGGTGTTTCTTGCCACCGGATTACTAGACTAATTGCTTCAAATTAAAACAAGCAAAAGAAAATGTCAAGAATGTACTCATCTGATCATACAACAATTTGACTAATGAGCTCAACAAGACAGCAAGTATGTCAAAGCACCACAGCTTAATTCCGTCTGGTCAATCAACAAATAATATTAGCTTAAATCTCATCCTCAACCAAATAACATTAGCTTAATGACACACTGAACCTAATTCTCAAGCACCGGAGCATCAACTTCGACTAAGACAAGTGAACTTTCCAAAAACCTTTAGCACTAACAAGGTGCCACAAATTTAGAGCTACAAAAACTATATTCTTGACAAACAATTCAAATCTATTCTTCACACCAATAAATTCCACTATTAGGGAAAAACTCTACAAGCCAAATTCATTTGAAGCATGGCAGATGGCATTGAACAACCAAATATGGTTTCAAGTCTTCCTAAACTGGAACTTCAGTGGTACATTCATAATTTTAGTTCTGAAACCTGAGACAAGCACACCTCTCACTTAACACTCCTAAACTAAAAAACCAACAATACCAGATCCAAGCTGGTACCCTGAAAAAATAACCAACTGGTGGTTTACTAGATAGACCACAAAAAAAAAATTCAAAATTCTACAGTTCTAATGAACACTGGTGTCATCCAACTGCAATACAGGCTACTACACATTGATTTTATCACAATTGTCCAGAATGCAACCTGGCAGGACCAAGAATCTTGCCCAAATTATTAAACCCGCTTCATTCATTATCCATTCAACTTACAAAGTACTTTTTTTGGCACGTGCCAAGCAGGCTTTATGAAAATCTAAAGAAGAGATATGTTAAACTGCAACTGTGGCAGCTTCTAAGAACAGATGGTAAATATTTCTTGGAGTTATTATAACATACACCATTTTTATCCACCCTGTTGCACAAAGTGCTAGATTACATACAGTTCATTAGGTGGAGAACTCCAACAGTGTAATATTGCCATCAGAAACGTGATCAGAACTACTCCCTCCATCCCAAATTGTAAGTCATTCCAAGAATCTTGGAGAGTCAAAGTTTTTCAAGTTTGACCAAATTTATATAACAAAATAATAATAATTATCATACCAAGTAAGTATCATTAGATTCTTCATTAGTTATATTTTCATATTATACCTATTTGATGTCATCAATCTTTGTGTTTCTCTCTATAATTTTAGTCAAACTTGAAAAAGTTTGACTCTCCAAGATTCTTGGAATGACTTACAATTTGGGATGGAGGGAGTAGTAAAGATTGAAGTGGAAACATGTGATCAACAATAGCTGACACACAAATCTAATTTGACACAAATTTTATCACAAAATCAAACAGTTCAGAGCTTAACCAGATAGTAATGACTCTAAACTTGTTCTAAAAAGTCTAAACCATCAAAGCTTAATTCCATGGTCTATTAAGACTCGGTTGAGCTATAGACTATATTGAGTACAATTTGCATCAAGTTTGAGCAACAAGTTAACAAGGTTCCAATAAATTCTTGATAAGAACGATTCCTATGTTAGAACACATGATATCTCACACTTAACTACCTTACAAGATGCTCTTTTGGGTAATCTGGACTACAGCGCTTAAATGTTCGTTTTGCAAATTGTATGTTTTAATGCCCAACCAAACAACAGCACTTTTAGAAATTTAATCACAGAATTGAAAATAAAAATCCAAGCAAGCAAGCAATTGCGCAAAAGTACACTTGTTCTAAGGCCACTGTCTCAGATAACTCTATAAACTTGAAATGCATTATATGGCGGATCAAAATAATGTCCTTGCATATTTAACATATAGATGATACTTATGTCAGCAACAAGGCCATTCGAAGAACACCAACATGAAACCAAAAACATATTAAGAATTAGTCCCTGATAGAAACAAAAAGGCAAGAGCAATTACTGTTAGAAAGAAACAAAAGAGAGAGTTTCAATGCCCTTGCATGGAATTGATACTAATATAGTACAACATACACAATACTGTGTTAATTTATCAGTATCAACACAACAGAATTTCCTTGGAGTTGCAATAATTATATCTCCAATAGCTTAATTCAGGCAATTTAAGCAACAAGGAGAATGGGGAGCCGGACGCCTCCATAACCACCGGATGCGAAAGGGATTTCACCTTTGAGGCCAATCCTCACACTGCCGAAGGCTCCACGGCGTCCCTTCCCCGTCCGCCGGGACCGACACCGAGGCTGGGCACATCGAGGCCTCCACCGATTCCATCGGGCATGAGCGAGGCAGGCCGGCTCTCGATGACCTCGTCGATGAGGCCCCAGTCGCGCGCCTCCTCGGGGTCCATGAAGAGATCTCTCTCCATGCACTGCTCGATCTTATCGATGGGCTGGCGCGTGTGCTTCTGGTAGATCTTGTTGAGGCGGTCGCGCATCTTGAGGATCTCCTTGGCCTGGATGGCGATATCGGTGGCCTGGCCCTGCGCGCCGCCCGAGGGCTGGTGGATCATGACCCTGGCGTTGGGCAGAGCGCGCCTCTCACCGGGCGCCCCGGCCGCGAGGAGGAGCGAGCCCATGGAGGCCGCCTGACCGATGCAGAGCGTGGTGACGGGGCAGCGGATGTACTGCATGGTGTCGTAGATGGCGAGCCCCGCGGTGACGACGCCCCCGGGGGAGTTGATGTAGAGGTGGACGGGCTT